GCTTGCGGGATTACTCAGTTCATGAGGAGCTGGGTTGGAAGGCAAAGATCCCAATTCATTTGGGATCTGTAGCAAAAATAATCAAATAGACACAGACAGCTGTTTAGAATTGTGTTCAAGTAAGTGAAAGGTTTGCTGAAGCCAGAGTACTGACAACAGGAAAAACAATGCAGGCTTCATCAGCACCGAAGGAGTATGCAGTGGTGAGCTGAAAATTCAGACTTCAGCATTCATTAAGCCAGCCTGATATAGCTAATTTTAGACACAGCTGCTGCTGTAATACAAGTTATATTTAAAGAATGAGCCAGGAGCCCCATTTGTTTAGAACTAGGAACAAAGAACTAGGACCAGCACCACCAACTTTGACAGTAGAATACTGAAATTGAAACAATGCAGTAGAGGAATCAGACCTCTGTCTCTGTAGGTAACTTGGATTTACAAACCCATGGTCTGAAATAAGGAACAGTACTCTGCCTCTGAAAGAAAGCCCTATTAGGGTATGGTCTCTGCTTACCACAGGTTTGTTGTGTACTCTTGATGAAATAATAAATGTAAAATGTATAAAAGTGCAGATATGAAATTACTGAACTCCAGTGAACCAGAGACAGTTGCTTCAATTATCACTGAACCAAAAAACCCCCAACCCTATATAAAGAAGGCAGTTAAAGAGATAAATATAATCTATTTCCTCCTGCCAGAGATCTACTCCCAAAACATACATTCAGAACTGTCTTTTTTATCTTACCTATTATTAAGAGACAGACTTGGAAAATTTCTGGGATTTATGAACTGATTTAGTAATCTTATGATTGTAAGTGTAGCCCCACAAAATTAAGACTTTTACCTATTATGATCTTTTCTTTCTTCACATATCCACTAGAATACCAGAAAACCCTCTTTATTGCATTAATTGTGAGGAATGTTATGGTCTTTACCTCAGTGCTGGAAATAAAATATATTGAGATGTATTTCAGCTGAAAGATAAGAAAGGCCATAATAGTTACAGATTTAATTATACATTATCCATATAGTACACATTTGTAAGCACTGAATAAACTCATGAATGTTACCTTGAAAATGAAATTCTTTTGGATCACAGTATAAAAGCACTATTTGCCCTCAGACTTTTGGCCCTAGGCAGTTGACAACAGAAAATACTGGCCAAAAACCTGCTATCTTTTTATTTCTATTCTCTCTGCATTGTTCAAACTGTAAGAAAGAGAATGAAATTTGAATCTGGTGTCTGTATTCTAGTAAAAATGCTACATTTCATTTCCAAAAGTATTACAGATTTCAGATCAGGAAAGAGACAGCTTGAATTTCAAATTGAAGCTTCAGTATGTAGAGCCAGCAGTTAAAAAAACAGCCTCAGCCTGCACTCAACAGAACACAAACACTTTACTCATCTAGCAAACATTCAGTTATAACACACATTTTTTGTGTCCTATTAGCCTATCACCATATGTTACTCAACAGTACAAAAGTGAGATTAGTTACACTTCTGTATAATCTGAATTTATCTATTTATAGATTTATGGGTGCTGATGGCTTGTTTTATAACTCTGGTGAATTTTTTGCAGAGCAGTGACTTGAGTGTAGCTCCAACAGGAGTCCAGCATAGAGAGATCTCTGATATAATGAGACATCTGTCAGTGGCTTCTCACCCACAACGTCAGTAAAGGCATAATGGAGACAGAGGTCAGTGAGAATTCCAGAAACAGAGGTAATACAGGCTCCAAAAGCTGACTCAGTCATTTGTGAGGACAGAGGAAGAAGTTACTAGCTGAATAGAAACAACAGAAGGATCCTTTTACTTGCACAAATGATATCAACTAAACTGAAACTGATGCCAAATAAAAGTGCAGTTAATCTGTGCAAAGCCAAATGAGATACAGTCACACTGTCTGAAAACCAGATAAAGATCTTTACTTTCTATGCACAAATTTTCAGAACCTGATGTATTCTAAATTAAGGGAATCTGCACAGAATAAACTTTGAGATACACATACTGCAAGTGCATCCCAACAAGACAGCAGCATTTCTTATCATGCAGTCACCTCTCTGCTTTGTGCTAGGTAGCAGTGTAGCAGCCTCCCATAGTGTCAGTGTGAGGGCTCAACTGGCCTCAGACTGATGCCTTAGGAAAAAGAGGTTCTGTGTAATTTCCCCCACTCTTTAAGCTTTTCAAGCTCCCTAGTTTTCAACTGATTACAATACCACAGACAGAGCATTAGCTATAGTGTGAACCACGATTGCTATTCGTCAGAGAACACTTGGATTTAAGAAAATGGGAGGAAGCAGATTCTGGTACTTGAGGACAATTACGTGTATTGGAGTAGCTGTGCAGCAAAAGCTGCACTAGACTGTACTCACTAGAATGGGTGAACTGCTGCGTTTGCTTCTTTTATTATTTGATTTATCTTGCTTGGGCTTTTTTTTGGTTTATTTTTGTTTTTTTGGTTGGTTGGTTTGGTTTTTTTTTGTTGTTGTTATTATCTTCATTGCACTGTCCCCCTAAGTGCATCTCAAGCTGATTCTGTCTCCTGGGAAACATAAATTCATGCTGCAAAAATTAAGAGAGTCTCTCGAAGAGTCCCTTTCTGACCTCCAGCCAGAAATCAAGTTATCTGCAGTATTATCTGTCCTTTTGAGGGTGTTGCATGTCACACTGATCACTGACAAGCCCAATTATTGGCATCTTCTACTGCAGTTTTTATGTGGGAAATGTCTTGTATCACCTAAAGGCAAATAGTCTCCATGAGCAGCCCCAGTGTGCTTTGGCAGCAGGTGAGGTATCTAACGCTGGATGGAGTGAAATCTGCTGTCAGAATGAAACACAGCATACAGAGCACTAGCAAGCCAGTCATAGGCATTAGCAACCAGGTGTGCATCACTTGCATCCTGGATTTAAGGCAGAAGTAAAACATAAACTGTCGGTGAGATTGCCTGCAGATGTCCTTCCTTAGAAAGAATTTTAGCTTCACTGTATTAGCAATTAAGAACTGATGTTTCTTTTCTTCCTCAGGTTGCTGGGCTGTCCAGCCCAATATTTTTATACAAATGGCAGTGTCTCCCAGTCACGTCTCAGAGATACAAAGCATGCAAGTAGAGGAGAGAAATAGTAGGCCTGCAAAGTGGTCAGTTCAACTCTCAGGAATGTGGGATACTGTCACATCCCACTGCAAAAAAATAGCAAGTCATTTCCTTGTAATCCTTTACATATGGAAAAGAAGTTATCAATATTTGTCCCTCACTGAAAACCCTTCATCTGTACTTTGGTTCACCTTTCACAGAGTACCTGAGCTGGCAGCAAATTGGAGTGACAGAAAAGTCACAGGAAAAGTCACCCAGCAAGGCTGGGGGGATGTTCATGGTGCTGCAGGGCCTCACACTTACTGTGGGTGAGGAAGGGTCAAGGAATGTGTGAATGAATGGATGGGTTTATCAGAAGGCTGCTTTCTTTCCAAGATGGAGTCACATCTTCTCAGAATTGTACAGAGCACCAGATTCAGGGCAAAGCCCTTCCTGGTCTGCGGAAGGAAAGCATGTGAGTACATGGAGGGGCCCCTGCTCCCCACTGCAGTGCTAAGCACTTCTATTGCCCACATTTCCACCTGCTGGACCAGCATTTCAGGTGGTAAAGAGATTGATTCAGCCCTGCTGAAAACTCAGTGTGGAAAATGCATCTGCATCTGATGGTCACTTGTATTCTTCCCATCCCACTGCGCTCTCCTCAACTGAACTGGAAAGTGTGGTCAAGGGTTTTGTGCAGGAAACGAGTATCTTTTGTCTCTAAATCACAGAAATCCTCCTCCCTCTTTTCTGTCTGGCAAAAGTATACACATTTTCCTAGGAAAATATTTGCACTGGAGGGGGATTATTACCAGTCAAATGAGCATCTACACTCTTGCTTGGGAGGGGCTTGTGTGGGGCATCACGTTGTGGCAGAACGCAGGTCTAGGCCCATTGTCAATACATCTGTTAACATCTAACTTGAAATACTTTTGTGTTTCTCCTTAGCCCCCCCTTGATCTTCCCCTATTTCTCTTGTTTCTGTAAGTTGCCCCCTTAGTTACTTGTTAACAAGTAAGGCAAGAAGGAGATGAAGAAATTACAGACTTAATTTATGTGGGCTTCATTATCTTAATCATCAGAATATAATAGAAAAGAGAAAGTGGTTGCAACTAAGAGGCCACTTTTAGTGAAAGGCTCTCTCCCAGACACATCCTCCTTTTAAATAAAAAAAAAAAGAGCCATGATCTGGGATTTCCTGGCAGTGCACGGAAACACTGTACACTTTATGATACTCCTTTGATTCTTATCACTTACGAAATCCGAGTGGAGTAGAAATTTGTTTGCCTTTGAGCTATTTGTTGCAGACCCCAGTGCTAGAAATGCTGCAAAAGAACAGAACAGTAAAGGCCTAAGTGTCAGTCTGAGTGATCCACCTGCTTTTTCTGGACCGCCACCAACCAGCAGAGACTTCATGGAAGCCCAGAAAATTATCCTTTATTTTTAAGCAATATGGTACCAGTAATATTTCAGCAAGTTCCTGAATTATGCCCATGACAACTTCACTGTTGTGAGTAAATTGAAATGTTGTTATCTGCTCTGCTGACTGATAGTTTTGGAAAAGAAGAAAATTCAGTCAGAATGAGAAATCTCACTTAGACTTGCAGTAAAAGCTGGGCAGGAGTTTTAAAATGGAAAAAGCTGTCCTGCTATCTATGTCAGAAAAAAATATCTTTAAATTTCAAGACTTCTTTAATATACACGAGCAGCAAGAAAGAATTCCAAAATCACATCAATTTCTCTAGAAAACAGCTAAGGGTGTCAAATAAAGTGACACAGCGTATGAGTATTCAGTTCATAGGTACTTTTCTCAAGGTAGACAGCCCAGGGAACATGATACATGGTTGCACAGATTTTTATAATCGCCTCCACCCTCTTGTCGATATATTTACCTGCTTCACCGTAGGTCATCCCCATTTTCTCCTTGCTGAGTGCAGCTGGTGAATTACTATGCGAACTGCACTACACAGAAGATTTAACTCGGTCTTCTAGCATGGGAAACCCCTGGCACTTACAATACACTTTAATTTTGCTCTGTATTTCAGTGCTGAATACCACAGGGTAAGTAGCACACTACTGAATGTAGCTTAATTCAGGAAACTTAGCTGTTAATGATACATATCCATTCTTCACTTTTAAAATGTGAAATGTTTCTTCCCTTTTAAAATGTGGCATGCTGTACAACTGAACCATGTCATTTTTTAAAAGAAATCATTTAAATTTGGGGTTACCTAATTCTGCTCTGGCATCTGTCTGAGAGAGAAACCTGTAACATAGATTTCTAATGGCTCATCTAAAAAGAAAAGATCTGGACAAATAGCCACAAGACTTATAAAACTCTCTGAATACACCTACAGTAACCTTTGATTTATGATTTTCCTGATGAATAAATGTTAAAAGATAGCACTGAATAGAGACTGAGTGGCAACTTGCCATGGCTTTCCCTTTCTCATGAAGAAGAAATCCAAGGAACAAGGAAGAAAACTTTCTTACTTTATCTGTCTTTACATATTCTTTTTCCTCCTTAGCCTGAGCTCAGTCTGTTTTCCAGTTGCTTGCTGCATTTCATTGCATTATTTCACAATAAATTAATTGTGTTATTTGCTCCTAATCTCCCGAGTTTTCTCAATGTCATTGCTTGGATTTTGAGCATTGCAGACATTCCTTGCGCTGCATTCACTTAAGGGCAGATTCTCTATACTGTGTCAAGTACAATAAGGATAATTAAAGAAGGGAGCACCACAGAGTTTGGAACAGAACCCTGTCTCCAGAAGCTGGGGACCATCCCTTCCCTATGCAAAAAACCCAAAGAGCAGAGCCTTTTGCATTGTGATCTGCGGTAGGATTTTGGTCTTGGTCACCTCAGCTCTGTGGGAATTTATAGTACACAAGGACTGTGCATTTGTTACTGCTTTTGTTTTGCAGCATTTTCAGGGTAAATTAGAAGAGCTGAATGAAATGAAACCTTTGTGTCATGAGAGATTTGCAGAGGTTAAAGGAAATATGTAGCCTTCAAACAAGTAACCGAGTTAAACCGTACAATGGCTCACTAGCATTGACACACTTTGCTTAGCAACAGTGGGGTTAATAATGCCATGAGCAAGTTCCTAGCAAGTCTTTGCTATTACCTGGTGTTGTCTGAGCTGAGATGTATCCAGCCATCCCTCTGCATCTCTCTGTGCCCGGGAGAACTCTCATTCCAGTTCAGTGGGATACAGACCAGAGGATACTTCTCACCTTTGTCTCACTCTCAGAATTTTGCCATGAACAAGTAACTTCCATATGAGAACAGAAATTCACACATGAGTGAAACCCTGGGCCTATTTAGTTATTCAGTGAAACACCCAGAGGTGTAAATTGAGGTCCCAACAGTCTTAAGAAGTTTTTGAGTCATTAATTCCACAAGCTTCACTCTGGTTTTTTCTTAACAGGATCAAGCAAAGACCAAGAGGTGGCTTGAGGACATGGGATCCTGAAACAGGTAACTGCATGGCATTGGTGCTGATAACCATCCAAGGTAAACTTTGGACATGCTGGCTCGTCTTCCTCACTTTAAAATATTGTATTTCAGCTTACCTCACCAGATGTGATTTTAACAATAACTCAAGGCCATTCTGTGACTGGACTCAGCCTTGCAATGTCAACCAGGGAGTGTGGATACGAACCAAGCATGACACTCCAACTGATGGAACAGGTCCTGATGGAGACTATCCTGATGGAAGTAAGTGCTCATTTGTGGCCTTGTTGATTTTCCTTTTCTGAAGACAGCTTGACTACCTTTATTCTTCTTTCTTTGAAAGGGAAAAGAGATTCATGAAGCCCTTTGAAATGTGTCTGGTTTGTTACATGCTGACACCTGTCTTTGACTTTTCATCATATCAGAGAGGAGTGAATTAAACTGGCTTGCCCGTCATAGATTTGATACCCTTATCAGTGCATGGAAGTAAAAGAAAGCAAATTTTATCTTGCTTAAGGCCTTAAAAAGAATGTAGTGACATGGAACAGGTAATTTTCCAAGAGAAGGCTTCTGGCCAAATTCCACTGATACCAGTTTATGGCAACAAATGTAATGATTACTGCACTGGCACAAGATAAAGTTCACACCAGCTAGTTACAAAATCAAGTATGAAATTGAAGAATATTTAAAAAATACTTGTCCTCTGATACCTGTGATTTAAAACTGGATTCTAATGTGGTCACAGTATCAAAAAAATACTCCATGGCTCCATCTCTGTGTGTTTGAACCACTATCCTTGCCCCAGCAGATCCATTTAGGGGGATCAGTCTGCAGTTATACAGCTTCCTGTAATTATTCCAAAACTGAAAGGTCAGCTACTGTCAGAGTCAGTAAGCAGATTAGAACAGTATTAGTTGGGATTGTTGCTAAATAATTTTCTGCATTTTTACTATTTTGATAATACCAAATAAAATTGCCTGTTGGAAGAAGAAATGAAACATTTTTTATTTAGATTAGCAAAAATAATAATGTTTTGGTTTTTGAATTGACACAGACCATATCACTTTAAATGTTACTTAGATTTCCTTTCCAACTTAAATCTATGACTGAATGTTAGATGTTATGTGTGGAGCCATCCTTTACCATGCAGAAATGGCATTCATTTATTTTTTATTCTTTTCCATAGTCAGATAGGAGAGACTTGACTTTAGCTGCCCTGTGAAAAGGTAACTTTGATCTTAGCCCACATGAAACAAAAAACTTCAGCCCCAGTAAAGCAAAATCTGATTTCACATTGAACCAATCAGACTAAAGCATTTCAAATCCTAAATAAACACTGCCAGTCTCTGAATTTGGAAATATTTCCTTCCTTTTCAAATGTCAAATGTAAGTATTCCCAAGGAAATATCAGCATTGCTTTCTATTTCTTCCATTTTGAGACAGATGGTTTGGAATTTTCTTTGTGCCAGGAATTTACTCATTTTGAGTGGAAAGTATTTATGGAAAAAGTATATCCCACAAAAGAAAGTTTATAGAAGATTGCCTTATTTTCCAGTGAGGAAAGTGGAAACTGAACATAGAGCAGTGTGGCAGTGTCTGGAGGTGCTGTCTCTTGAAAGAGTCCCACATCTTTTATTGCGATCCCAAAAGAACTGTTCTTGTGAGATTAAATATATTTGCTTTGCTTTCAGACTCACATTCTACTTCGTATAACTACATGGGTTAACCATTGCAATGTGAAGTCCAAACACCCTTTGCTTTGCTTCTTTACACTGATAATGATGCCTTAATTTCTTCCAGATTTGGATTGTACTTCAGTTTTAAATGATATCTAATAGGTTATCAGAAGCTTCAACCATATTTTAATTTTTTTTCACTCTGCAGAAGGCTATTTCATCTACCAAGAAGCAAGTAATCTGATCCCCTTCGACACTAACAGGCTAGAGAGCCCAGATACTGTAGTTTCTGGGAAAATATGCATAGACTTCTGGTACTACATGTTTGGATCAGAAGAGATGAATGAGCTGAGAGTGCTTGTCCAGGATGGCACAGGGGAGTCTGTGGTGTGGCATAGGAAGGGAAACCAGAGTTCCTTGTGGAAATATGGTGCCATCACTCACACTTTTCCAACACAGAGAAAGATAAAGGTAATATATTTGCAGAATATATTTCTTTGCCCAGTGTCAGCATTTTTTGCCCCTTGCAGGTTGCAAAATGTTGTGCTTGGTTTATATTAAACCAAGATTTGCTTGGTTTATATTTTGTAAATAAAATGGCCTCATGATTTCTGTCAATGAGCTAAGAGAAGAAACCACAAACCTCCTAGTTTCACCTAGCTGTTAGCTAAGGGATAAAATTCAGTTTAGTTTTCTCTCTTTTTCCTTCCTTCACTCCTTTATTTTATCATGAAGTCAAGGACTTCAGATGTTATAATTAAATGCAGGTTTGTCTGCTGTGAGTTTAAGGGTTTCAACTTTTGGGTGTCTCCTGCATTGGACTCCTCTGTAGAATCTAGCCCATTAATTCTCATAAATCATTTATAAGTCAGCAAAATAGAAGGCCATGTTTCCTGCAGTCCAAACCTTATTACAGAATATATATTCCTCTGGCTGTTATAACCTCATCTTGCTGATTGCTATTTTTAGCAAAAAAGCAGATAGATTAGTTTGAAAATGTGCTAAGAGAAATGGTTTTGTGTTTGCCTAAGCATCTCTGATGCAGGGATCACTTTGTGTCCTGCCTAGGTAATTTTTGAGGCTGTCCGAGGACTGACAGAGTTTGGGGATACAGCGCTGGACAATGTGAGAGTAAGGGATGGACCCTGTGGTAAGTCAGTGTTTGCACCCCAGTCTGTGCTATTTCCTCCTCTCTGTTTAAGCTGACCACAAATTCCCATTACTATACTCCATATACAATATAGCGACCCCTCAGAACTTGGAACCACAAAAGAGAAATGGCAAAATCTTTACACCTCACTTCATTTCAATGTTATGTGTTTTGCTGTAATTTCTTCCTAAATCTTTCCTCATCACCTCCAACATCCAAGACAAGCTATCCCTTTCTCTGCAACTGTGACCTTTTTCACCACGTCCAGCAAAATTTACCTTCACTTCTAAGTCTGAAGTGCATCTCTAAATCTAGACAAGGCTACACACTTTGATCTTGGATTTCAGATTACATGGTCTAATTGGCATTTTACAGCAAATATCAGTTCATGCAAGCTCATTAAATACACAGTACAACCATATGTCACATGAAGAAATATCAATGAGTCAATAACACTGAGTTGGACTACCAGTTGTGACTACAAATCAGCAATTTGAGCTTGATCTCTGACCCTGTAACAGATCAGCCAAAACTAGCACAAGCTGTGCATGGCTGGGATCCATTTTTACTGACAAGCATGGAATACCTACAGAATGTAAATTGACCAAGAAATTTACTGAAAAACTTATAGAAAGTTTCATTAGGTCTTAATAGGTGTTATTTTCTGTGAAATATAACTAAGGTGATTACATAATCTGTTTCAAATTTACACTACCTGTGTCAAAGATTTCCTTTCAGATCCACGTCCTCTGATCATGCGATTTTATTTTAAATTCCTTGAAAAGGACTTGTGGCCTTATCTTGTTTGAGGGCTAGGAGAGCCAGTTCTTCATTTTTCTAGTTGTATTAGCACATGATTCAGCCACCGGATGGTGCACAAAGGTAATTCCAAGAGATGAGAGCTTCTCTGTTCATCTCACTCTCATACCTGCCAACACTCACTGGCAGTAAGACCTTCATGTGTCTTAACACACACCAGAGGAAGTCACACATCCAACTGTAACTACACTTCAGCTCCCAGAAGAGCCCCAGCACAGTCACTGTGATCAAACTAACAATCAGATGCGCTTTCCTAAGAGCTAAAAAGACCTACACATCCCTGATTTTAAACACAGGAAGTTCTACTTGTTTTACTGAAGAACTTCATTCTTTATGGTGGTGAAAAGTACGTGAAAAATCCATGTACATTAGTGTGTAAATAGTGTTCTCCTTTTAATGGTAAAGCTCATTGTATTGCTTTGTCTTTTCAATTAACAGAAGCTGTCCCTACACCTGTACCACCAATACCTACACCAACAGAACCTACACCACTTCCAGTGACAGGTAATTTTAGCCAATCACATATACTACTCAGTGGGTTGTAGGACACATTTTTTACTAACAGTACTGCTTCTTTGCTTCAGTTAATTTCTGTGGGTACTTGTCTATGATGTTGCTTTATGCCATACAAATCAGCCTTTTCTGTTTCAGTTCTTCCATCAAACTACAAAACAAGGGTGATTGTGCAGTGGGAGGACACGATAAGATGGACTTTTGGGATGTGTCTGTATGTTAATGAGAACATATTCATTTCCCTGTCTCCAGAAGCTATTTGCAGTATACATGGAGATCCCCACTACAACACCTTTGACAAGCAGCGTCATGACTTCATGGGCACCTGTACCTACACCCTTTCCAAGCTGTGTGAGACCAACAGCTCCTTGCCCTACTTCAATGTGGAAGCAGCCAATGAGCACAGGGGAGGCAACACCCGTGTGTCCTATGTCCAGTACGTGGATATTGATGTCTATGGCTACAGGATCAACCTTGGTCAAAAAAGAGCTGTTAAGGTAAGGTTGGAGCCCACTGCCTATCATTCAAAACTCATAGCATGAATGAAGATATTGTTGGACAGTGACTACAAATTTCCAGCATCCACACAATAATTTTTACAGGGCAGTCAGATATTTAGGAGCAGGAGTAATGTTCCTAAACACAGGAATTTCAAAACTGAAAGCATAGGCTAAAATTCTGCGCTGTGTTTTTGAAAGGTGGCTAAGAGCTGACAGTCCAGATGGGGCTGGTGGGCTAGACAACCTTTCTAACCTGCTCCCCATGCTCAAGTTTGGTATTTAACAGGGAGCACAGAGGCTCTGAATTAGCTGAGTTCATGCTGGTAGTAATTTTCCTGTATGGTAGCCTGTAAAAGTGAACACTTATCCCTGATCTCTACTTAGTCCACTTCACTGTTAACTTCACTTAACACCAGGCCTTTGCCATAAACCAGAATCAGGTGGCAGTCCTGGAGTGACAATCTGATAACTCTCCTTATACCGATTGTACACTTGTCCAGCTTGCATCCTAGGACTTCTTTATGTATCCTTTCCATAAAGGGTCAAGACAGTAGAAATGGTTGAACCAAACCCCCAGCATATGAACAGGTCACCTTGCTTCATTATTACCCTTCTTATAAGAAAATACAGCAGTGATTTAAAAGAGGCGAAGGTTTGAAGGTACACTGAAACCATTCCCATCTGATCTTAGAGACATAGAGAACTGATATGTCCTCATTTGTCCAACAGTCTCTGTCTTATACCTTTCCCCTCTATTTACTGCTTTTATTATAAAAAAATAATAGGTCTGTAGGCAGTTGCTGCAGACAGACCATGCTAAGTCTTGGACTTTTGCCTGCTGTGCCTGGCTCACCAAGACCACACTTGTAAGCTACATTGTAGCCACACTGTTATGGCCTCAAGACCAAGATTATGTGGCCATATACATGTGTACATACATATACCAGCACAGAATTCTTACTGCTCACTGTGTCAATATAGCGATCTAAGAGTGTCACCATTAAAAATACTTCCTGTCAAGTGATTACAATACTTGTCCTTCTCTGTGCCTGCAGGTCAATGGAGTCATCCAGGTGATCCCTGTGACCGTGGTCCCAGGTGTCAGTATTTTCTTCAGTGGGCAGTATGTTGTGGTTACTACTGACTTCGGGCTGCAAGTCAAGTTTGATGGAAATCACAGAGCAGAAATCACTCTTCCCAGTACCTATATGTCTAAAGTCTGTGGAATATGTGGAAATTACAATGGGCAAAAAACAGATGATTTTCTCAACCCAGATGGAGAGATGGAAGCAAACTCAACCAGCCTTGGCAACAGTTGGCAAGTTTACAATGACTCCAGGTAGGACTCCTGTCAGGATGTCAGGTCTTACCTGTTGGCTATGCAATGACCACTGTTTTATGCAACCCTTCTGTGGAGGCCAAAAATGTCTGATGTGGGATAAAATCTGTCCTTGTCAGTGTTCTTAGTTTATGCATCTATGTAAAGTTTCACTGAAAGTTTAACTGTGCTTAAAAAGAGAAAATTTCTTAGACTCTTAGGCTGGAAAAGATCTTTAATCATTGAGTTGAACAGTTAACCCTGGTAAGTGTATAGCACTGCTATATCCACCAGCACATGTCCCCAAATGCCACACTTATGCATCTTCTCAATTCCTCCAGGCATGGTGACTCCATCACTACCCTGGGCAGCCCATTTCAATCCTCAACAACCCTTTTGGAGAAGAAATTTTTCCTAATATCTAATCTAAACCTCCCCTGGTGCAATTGAAGCCATTTCCTCTCACCCTGTTACCTGGAAAAGAAACTATCCTCCATCTCACTACAACCTCCTTTCAGGGAGCTGCAGAGATTGAGGAGGTGTCCCCTGAGCGTTTTTCTTCCCAAGGCCTAACAACCTCAATTCCCTCAGCCACTCTACATAAGACTTGTGCTTCAGAACCTTCACCAGCTCCATTGCCCTTGTCTGGATACAGCCCTGCACCTCAGTGTCTTTCTGGTAGTGACAGGCCCAAAACTGAGCATAGGAATCAAAGTGTGGCCTTAACAGTGCCAAGGACAGGGGAGTGATCCCTTCCTTCTTCCCCACTTAAATCTTACTCTACATATGCTTTTTGCCCAAAGAGAATCCAGCTGGGGTGGGGACAGGGGGGAGTGGTTTTTTTCCCCTCACATCATGATAATTCCTCAGGAAAAGCTCAGGCTTCTGCTGGGCTCCATCAGCCAGTACCATCCTTGTAGCCTCACCATGGGAAAGGGCTTTGTCCCTTTTGTTCAGGGCTGGATCCTGCCAGGTGCTGGGCACTGCACACACAGCACCCATATCTTCATACCACATACCCCTGGAGCAACCCCTGGGCCTGATTTTTAGGGTTACTTACACTTTGGGGTTTTCAGGAAGAGTGGCCAATTAAATCAGAAAATCATATGTATTTTGTAATGTCTCCACAAATGGTCTCTTTAGGCACCCTGATGCAACCCAGGCACACGGCTGCAAGCAAACACTCCCATAAAAGAGACACTGACTTTCTCATTTGCTTTGCCTTGATAATAGGAGAGAAAGACCACAGGGGCTTCTTTTGTCCCCTAGTGCTGTTTGAGCAAACACGGAGTATGTTAAGTACAAATACAGGCCAGACAGGGAGAATGATCTGTGACTTTTAGCATTGCCTTGGCTAAATTCCTTATGTACATTTTAGTATTTTAATAAAACACAGAAGGTGCCCACTAAGATTTCAGTTATTGTTTTAGTTTCTGAATGCTAATAATTGAAGACATTGTTTCAACTCTTCTGAGATAATTGACTTGTTGTTATTATTACAGAATGTTATTCAATGAGAGCGGGAGTTGAACTTTAAATTGCTTTCACTTTCTAATTCCTCTTCTGTGTAAACAGCCTGACTACCAGAAAGCCAAAAATAAACATCTGGGTTTTGTCCAAGCCTCTCAAAGATTATCAGGTTGAGATCATACTGTAATCTGAATTTCTATCCTAAGAGCTTGAAATAGAGGGATTGGAAATATGTCATGTTTAGTCTGGGAAGAGACCTGTAGTTTTGGTAGATGCGATTTCAAAACCATCTCAGGTGCTAGTGAATCCAAAGTTGATCCATTAATTTTTCCACGTCTTTTTTCTTTTTTTCCACATTAGGTGTTCACCAGATGATGGCCATACTCCAAACTGCACTGATAATGAAAAGCACATGATCCAAAGCAACGCATACTGTGGTCTGATCACAGATCCAAATGGTCCATTCCAGAACTGCCACTCAGTAGTTGATCCACAGAGTTATTTTGAAGATTGCCAGTATGATCTCTGTGAACTTCACTTGAACAATGCAGCCCTCTGTGAAAGCCTACAGGCTTATGCAGACGTGTGCCAAACTGCAGGAGTCCAGCTGGAACCATGGAGAAACACAACCTTTTGCCGTATGTATAAAAGATTGTTAGAAATTACCACTTGTCAGGAGGATATAATGAGGATTTCCTGAAGACAGAGACTTACAGCCCAGCTTTGAATTCATGTAACACTGAGAATCTTGACTTTTATGTCTAAAGATTTCAGGGTTATATGTAGTTCCTCAGTTAGATTCCTTTGGGAAGATGCTAGTGAAAATAGTTCAGCTGCTTTGAATGAAAGGAAAAATTACCACCTATTTAAAATTAAAATAGAATTTGAGGCCTTTCCTTTGAATTTCTCTCTGCAAAGAGAGCAAGATGAAGGAGGAACTCTTCTGAAATACTGAACAGGAGATCTGGGATAAAAGGAGGAGAGTATTATAAACACTATCAGTGGCATGGACTCCCATATGTATAAGAGAGTAGGGAGTGCTGACCAATCTTCTAAATTGGATGTGGAGGAAAGTGTCAGTGTCCCATCCAGGTGTAGTCCTTCATGGTTTCAGATGGGAGAGGGGCCAACACAGATTGGAAGCCTGGAATTAAAGGACAGGACTGAAGTCAAAAGTAATTGGAGTTTGAAACAGTAGAGATTGTAACAATGCTATTCAGGGTGGAGAAGGTGGAGAGAGTAGGGAAGAGATGGAAGAGACACACACAGAGACACAAGACAAAAGGTGTCAAATAATAAAGTGATAGATAGGTGTCTGTGCTAGGGAATAGGTAAGAACAATGATTTTTCTTGACTGAGTATTGGTGAAGAGTAAATAAAGAATATTTCTCAAGCATTCAGGCATATATTATAGGAAAAAATATTGATATTATTTTTAGAACAGAATTTAATTACAAATATAATGTCTGAAATGCCTGAATAGACCTGTTCCCACTAGAAACAATAAAAGGAACAGGAAATAGTAATACAGTTACCCTGGCAGCCTTTTAGGCTGAAGCTTGTCTGAAAACAATGGAATTACTGAAGCCTAATTTCTTTTCTGACTTTTGTTTCCCATTTGACTTCAGTCTCCATCTGGAGCATTTTCTAGGATGGAGACATTACTGAGGCTTTCTTTCCTAGAAGTTCTGTGGCGTCTAAGCAGGAGTGAGCTGACTCTGCACCTCTCCTTTCTGCTAAAAGAGGTTGCAGGATCCCCCCTCCTTGCCTTGTGCCTATTTTTTTAATGAACCTGAATATAATTTTGTCCTCTGCCAACCTCACCAAGTTATTTCCTGTAGATAATGTGGGAAAAATTAAGTGAGAGGATGGGCAGAGAAATGTAGAAGTTCATTGTATAATCTCTGTCTCCTTAGAAAAATACACTAAGGATAGAGTAAGAAAACATGTCATTAGAAATTGTCTCACATCACATAAACATGTGGAAGCTGAAAAAAGATTGCTCAGGAAGCTCCAGTTCTCAGACCTTCTCATCAGAATATGACAGTGTTTAAAAGATGTAGTTACAAAGAATTAAGAATTAAGAATTAAGAATTAAGAATTAAGAATTAAGAATTAAGAATTAAAAATTAAGGATCAACTCATGACAACATGTCTGGATATCAGAACTACAGACTAAATATAGCACGTCTAGGACAACAGATAACATGATATTGATATCCCCTGTCCAATGCAAGAATTCAAGAAATCACCTTCATATCCTAAGAAATGGTCTCTCTGAGTGAAAGTTTAGACGCCCAAAATTCAAAGGAAATTCAAGTGTGGTAAGGCAACAATGACATGCATGAAAATGTTGCTAAGTCCAAGATGTTCACAAATATTTCAAAAGGAATCATAATATGATATTAAACAAATCCCAATACTTAAGTAATTAAAAATATTAATATATATCTTTATATATTCTTACACAGCAATGACCTGCCAAGCCAACAGTCACTATGAGCCCTGTGCTGCAGCCTGCCCTGCCACCTGTGTTGACCCGATGGCTCCCCACAGCTGCAGCCTGCCGTGCGTGGAGGGCTGTGTGTGCGACAGCGGGTTCCTGCTCTACAATGACCGCTGCGTGCCCAGCCAGCAGTGCGGGTGCTGGCACAACGGGCAGCACTACCCCGTGGGCTCCGAGTTCTGGACGGACGACACCTGCTCCTCCAAGTGCACGTGTCCTGCACGGGGAAGCAAAGTCCAGTGCTTCAATGCCTCCTGCCCTGCGGGCCAGTACTGCGGGGTGCAGGACGGGAAACCTGTGTGCCTCGAACACTCCTACGGCATCTGCCACGTCCACGGGGACCCCCACTACAAAACCTTTGACAGGGTGACGCACAACTTCATGGGCAACTGCACCTACACCCTGGCCAAAGTGTGCTCCAACACCACCTCCCTGCCCTACTTCAATGTGGAGGCCAAGAACGAGCACCGTGGCAACACCCGAGTGTCCTACGTGCGCGAAGTCGTGGTTGAGGTGCACGGACAGCGCATTGTCATCCTCAAGAAGCAGGAGAGCCACGTGCTGGTAGGCAGTGGGGCATGAGCGTGGTGGGGCTGCAGGGCAGCACTGGCTGCACCTGGGCAGGGCCTGGCGTGTACCAGATGCCTCCATTGTCCCAGGAATCTGTGGGCTCCCCTGAAGGCTCTGGGTCCCTTGGTTTTTCCTTTTGGGATGGGCTGGAGGAGGAAGAGGCAAATGGGGAACGTGGACCATGTTGAGCACAGTGCAGAACACAGCACACAGCTCTGTGAGCCCCAGGAATGTTGGGGTGTGAGGACATCCCAGGCAGTTGTTTGCCGTGCCTGGGCTGGCAGCTGCTTTCCCTGGGCAGGAGCAGCCGGGGAGGCCGGGGACAGGCCCGGGGCCCACTGTGGTGTGTGTGCCGTAGGTGAACAACGTGCGCCAGACGTTGCCGGTGAGCGCAGCGGGAGGGGACATCACGGTGAGCAAGAGTGGTCGCTACATCGTCCTGGAGACAGACTTCAACCTCCGAGTGTCCTACGACACTGACCACTCGGTGGAGGTGAAGGTGCCCACCACCTACTTCAACCTGACCTGTGGCATGTGTGGCAACTTCAACAACCGCAGAGACGACGAGTACACGATGCCCAACGGGCAGCAAGCCACAGACTCCAATGCGCTGGGGGAGAGCTGGCAGGTCCCAGACAGTGACCCCTCCTGCGGTGTCCCTGTCCCCTCCCCACCCTGCAGTGCAGAAGAGGAGAAGCTCTACCGCTCCGACCAGTTCTGTGGCATGCTGACCACCAGGCCTAGCGCTTTTGAGAGGTGCCATGGTGTGATCAACCCCCAGGACTACTTTGACACCTGCTTGTACGACCTGTGTGCCCTGAATGGTGGCCAGGAGTTCCTGTGTGCTGCTCTGGAGGCCTATGCTGATGCTTGCCAGGCAGCTGGTGTGACTCTTCTTCCCTGGAGGAATGCTACCTTCTGCCGTGAGTACCCGCCTTGCCATTGCCAGAAAGGCAAATGGGCCACACCCTCTGCTCTGAGCCTCTGACCAAAGCAAGTCTTTGGTGTGTCCCTTCCCACTAGGCTGTCCATGGTTAAAGTCTTCCTGGTCTTAAGTTTCCTCTTCCCATTGCAGCCCTGCAGTGTCCCCCCAACAGCTACTATGACCCCTGCATGACCGGCTGTCCTGCCACCTGTGCTGACCAACAAGCCCCACAGAACTGCTCCAAGCCTTGTGTGGAGGGCTGTGCGTGTAGCTCTGGCTTCCTCCTGAGTGGAGACGCCTGTGTGCCCGAGGCCAACTGTGGCTGCCTCTTTGAGGGCAACTACTATACTGTGAGTGAAAAGCCTGCCCTGGTTTGCTCTGCCTTGCCACACCACTCCTCTGCCTCTACTTTCCCGCCCCATGCTGACTGAGGTTTGGTGTTTTCCTGCCTGCAGGAAGGCGAATCCTTCGTGAATGAGAACTGCACTCGCCGGTGCCGGTGCGAAGCCAAAGGCCAGATGGTTTGCTCTGCCTTGTCCTGTGGCGAGGACGAGGTCTGCAAGATCCAGGATGGCCAGAGGGGCTGTTACCCAGCCAGCACTGCCGTCTGCCACATCTACGGTGACCCACATTACAGCACCTTTGATGGGAAGCTCCATCACTTCCAGGGCTCCTGCAACTACACAGTGGTGACGGGCTGTGACAATTCCTCCGTTGGCTTCAGTGTCACCACCCGCAACAAACATCGCAGCAGCCGGAGCTGGACAGCTCTGAACTCTGTGGCACTGTCCCTCAAGGGCCTCCACATTGCACTGCGCGAGCACAAGGCAGTCTACGTAAGCCTCTCATGTTTATACCTGGGAACAACAGACACACTGGACACCCTGAAAGCAGCCCTCTGTCCCCAGGGACAGCTTGCTACTCCCTGAGCCTGCTGCATGCTCACAGAAGAGCATGGCAGGGCTCTGAATGGGCCATATATGGCTGCTTATGCAGACTCAGATCCTTGGTTTCTATCCTGAGTTTTCACTGAGCCATTGGGACAGTTGCTGCTGCCCCTGTTGGCCAGGGCAGGGTTCCTCACACCAGCAGTGCTTCTGGCTCACTGGCACTACCCCAGAGAGGAGCAGTGACCTCTCAGTGGAGGGCACCTCTTTATGCTTCTGTCTCTCTCTGTCCCCCTTCTCCAGATCAATGGTGCTCTGGTCTCCCTGCCTGCTTCTCCTGCCCCCGGTGTGACCGTTTCCCTGAGCGGCTCCTACGTGCGGGTTGCTACCAAGCTGGGCCTGCAGCTGCAGTTCAATGGGGACCATGAGCTCCTAGTGAAGGTGTCGGAGAAGTACAAGGGCAAGCTCTGTGGGCTGTGTGGGACGTACACTGGGAGCCAGCAGGATGACTTCATGCGACCCGATGGGGTGGTTGTACCCGACTTCAACGACTTTGGAGCCAGCTGGATGGTGCCGGATGATGAGTGGCTGTGAGTCCTTGTTCCCTCATGTAGATGAAGGACAGAGGGGAGCTGAGGGAGGGGTGGTGATGGCAAGCATGGGGCAAGTGAGGAGAGGCTGTTCCTGACCCCGGGAAGAGTGGGCTGAGCCTGGGCAGGATGCTTTTCCCAGGCTGTTTGGATCCCAACTGCCTCAGCCGTTTGTTTCTGTCCACCTGAAACCAGGGAGAGCAATGGTGCCTGTGGGCCATGTGTTCCAGCCTTTCAAGAGACAGCCATGGGGGCCTGTCTTAGGGAGGGATCTGGACTGCAGAAGCTGAGGTTATGGGTGGGGAGGAGGCCAGGAAATGCCCTGGCTGCTTTCAACAGGCTGTAGAGAACTCAGGGCTGTCTGTCTGCTTTGTAGGTGTGACCCAACCATCAGCCCACCTCCATCCTGCTCCCCTGCTGAAGAGGAGGCAGCTAACAAGCAGTGTTCAATCCTCACACACCTCGGTGGCCCGTTCCAGCCATGCCATGCAGTTCTGCCACCCAAGACATACTTGGAGAGCTGTGTCTATGACCAGTGTGCCACGGGTGGCAGCACGGAGCAGCTCTGCAATGACCTGGGGGCCTATGCTGCAGCTTGTGCTGAGGCAGGTGTTGCTCTGGGAGACTGGAGTGCTGGCACTGTCTGTGGTAAGTCTTCTGTTGACCTCCTTTGATTTCCTTGAATCTCAGAGGCAAGGAATGGGGCAGTACATGGCGGCAGAGATTTCCCATAACTATGTAGCCCATAACTAGCCACTCTGGTGGGCAAGCCCTTGCATGAAGAGACTCTTCTGGACACGTGGAATCCCTTTCCCACACTTTGTTTGCAATGGTGTGGGGGTGTTTGGGATGCGTGCAATGTCCCCATTTGGGAACAAATCTTCATAATCAAACGTACCTTCTCCACTTCTGTTTCGCTCACCAGCTCCTACAACCTCGCCCCCCTTGCCAGGCACTACAACGCAGCCTCCACATACAACAACATCACCTGGGACAAGCACAGGTACGCTTGTCTCCCATCTGTGGTTTTTAGTGGCTGTGCTAAGCACTTCCCCTTGGCTGGCCACCCTCGCCTGTCCACGGGCATGCCATGGATGTACATGGATGTGCCTGAGCTCTGCCGGACATGGGGAAAAGGTGGCCCCACCCTCACTCTACAACCTCTGCTTTCCTTTCTGTACCGTGTTCAGCTCCACCAACAGAGTGCAATTTTGCCTGCACATTCGACAAGGACTTCTGTGGGTGGGTCCAGGAAGATTACAGCAGCATTGACTGGATAAGGAACAAAGGCCCCACACCCACGCCAAACACCGGCCCATCCTCTGACCACACAACAGGAGGTAGGAACAGCAATCAGGACACAGGCAGAGAGCTGTCCCTGCAAGAATGGCAACAAACTTCTAACAGCAAACACGGACCACGTTTTTCCTGGCCTTCCTCAGGAGCAGTTTGTCCAGTGTCCCTGAGGGCCTGAGGATCCTCTTGGGAGGATTTCCAGCCCTGACAATCAGTTTGTGCTGCCCCCAGAGCAGGCGAGAACCTGCCATGCAGGGGAGAATGTAATGCACACCTTGGTGATCTGTCTGTCTCTGGGGAGAGATCACAAATGGGTCTGTGGCTCTGTTACAAAATCCTGCCTTTTCCAGAAGCCACAATGGGGGTTCTCCAAATCTGCAGTGCCATGTGAGGACTGAGGCAATGCTTTGGAGGAGTTGCCATGTCCCAGTCCAAAGCATACCTCTGCCATGGCCCTGAGAGCACATTCATAGAGGCACTGGGATCTGGGGAAGGTTGTGGCTTGTGAAGGATCTGTGTTTGCTCTCCCCTCCTTTTTGCCTGCCTGAAACTGCAGCTGGGGTGTTCCCACAACTATGCTTAGGTTGTCCCTGGCTGCTTTGGGTAGCTCTGATGCATCTGTGACAGTGTGGCTCGTGCTTTGTTTCAGATGGCTACTACATCTTCCTGCAAGGGAGTGATGATACTCTCCCTGGCTTTGTGGCTCACCTGGTCAGCCCGGTGTGCAGCTGGGAAGGAACACTCTGCTTCCGCTTCTGGTACCACATGTATGGAAGTGCTAAATCAATGGCCCTGCGGGTGTACGTGCGGGAGGACGATGAGCCAGTGCTGGTCTGGCAAGAAGTTGGGAACCATGGGGACAGGTGGCACTTGGGAGAGGTCACGGTGCACACCACGGGAAACAGGCAGGTAAGGCCACAGGCTCTCACTGTCACCTCAGAGGAGCTGTGCTTTCTAACCGTGCTCTTCACACATGCAGCTGGACCTAATGCTGGGAACCATTCCTTCTCTTAGATTTTGCTGGAGGGAGAATGGGGTGAAGATGTGAGGAGCAACATAGCATTGGATGATGTCTCCGTTGAAAAGGGATCCTGTGCAGGTACAAGGCTTGGCTTAGGGAAGGGCAGCCTGAGACATGTCACTGACTGAGGGGGCAGGCTGTGCTCCAGGCAGGAGCACAGGTTGTCTTTGGGCACTGATGCAGCCTGTCCCCAAGTCAACTCTCCTCTGGGAGGTTGGAGCACTGGCAAAGCCTGCAGTCACTGCTTTAGTTCACGTGTTGTAAACTAAACCGTGGACCTGACATTGACCACAGGTACAGAAGTGCCTTATCTGCTGTTGTCACTCAGCTCAGCTGGTGGCAGAGCCCTTGAGTGGGACAGCTCTGCTTGAGATGACACTCTTCAGTGCCTGTCCTGGGTATGCCTAGTCATGGTGTTGGGTAATTTAGAAGGGTGAGGGAACCAGCTGCCTGCAACAAAACTCCCCTGTTGGTGCACATCTCCTCTAACCCTCTCTTGTGCTAGGTCCATCGACACCAACACCCACGGTGCCCTTGCCAGGTACCACAATGCAGCCTGTAGTCACCACCTCACCAACAAGACCCACTCCAAGCTCAGGTACTGCCATGTTTGATCCCTGTCTCCTACTGCCTCTTAATAGTGTTCATTTTGCTTCCTTCATGTCTATGACCATGTGGCATATATGTATTTTTCTCCATTTCATCTATATTGATATAAGAGTTTCTGGTGAGAAGTCACTGTCAAATCCCTGTCCTGGGCATCCTGGGCCTCCCTGGTCATGTTTTTTGGGTGTTTGTGATGAGGGGATCAGCTGCCTGCAGCAAAACTCCCCTGTTGGTGCACATTTCCTTTAAATCTCTCTAGTGCTAGGTCCATTGACATCAACACCCACATGTCCTGTGCCAGGTACCAAATGCAGCTTGTACTCACCACCTCACCAACCAGACCAGACCCTGCTCAGATATTGGCATTTCCACTCTCTTTCTCTTACTGCCTCATCTTAGTGCCTTTAGCATTTCCTTGTCTTCTAAATCCAGGTTCCATAGCCAACAGACAGGGATTTTATGCTGGAGGTCCAGAGCTTTTCCTTGCTAATCACACCTTTGGAACATTTCTGCTCTTTTGGGAGTCTGTCTGACTTCCAGCTCTGTTCATCTTCCATTAGGTGTCTTTTGCCACAGTGCTGATGTTTTTGTAAGAGTAGACCAAACATGTGATAGCTGTCTCACATACTCTTTATTGCTATGTCCATATATATTTGAATTAGTCTTCTGTATGGCAAATTTTATCTTGTTATACAGATGTTTTTGTCTGTATATTTAAATTTTTCATTTAATTTCCTTTTTTTTTTTTGTTTCAGATATAATCCAATTATATTTTCTTGGGAAAGACTAGTTTATTATATAGGATATGTACTAAAATGTCAGTTCAGCTAAATTTTAATTGCTGATTTCCTCTAATTTTAATAACAAATATCTGTATGTATCTGCTTGTTAAGTACAAGAGAGCCCTGGCTTACCTATTCAGTTCAGATTTCTTCTGCTTTTCTTGGTAATTAATAAATATGTCTTTCTTTGTAAGGAGTTAAGGCTGACATGTAGATGCAACCCTAAGTGTAGCTGTACTTTAACATGCCTTTGAAAAGCAAAAATGTAAGAACCCCTCCTCATTATTTTTTGGTGGTGGTGGGAAACACCATGAAGCACCTTCAGGCTCAACTCTGATAAGAGGTGATGGGAAGTTTTTTCCTTTAAATCAGAAGTTTTTATCAGTATTCTAAATCTTACACCGGTCTCACACATAAATGCATACACAATATACCTCCATTTGTACATATTATCACTGGCTATTTATTTTTTTTTATTTTTTATTTTTTAAATGTGTAAAGGATATCTTGTGAAAGCAATACTCAATTTAAGTTCCATAAATTATACGAGTACCAAACCCCAGACAACTGATAGTGCAGCGGTCTATTCTGGCTAACCAGCCCTGTTAAGTTTTTGAGTAAATTCTTCCTGTTTAGTCAGAAAGATATCTTTGGACCCACAAAGAATCTACTCTTGTGTATCAGAAATCTGTGCTAGAGGTTGATGAAGAAACTTGCGTAAAAGGCATTATTAAGACTTTGTTATATAAGTGGAGCAGTGAGTTTTTACTGTCCAGATCTTAAAAGCTCTTTATAACTGTTAAGCTTTTGGAGTGCTATTGACTGGTGTCATCACTATTATATCTGAGCAACAAATACAACATAAGCAAACAAACTGGGAACCAAGCATCTGCAAAAGTCTGGTGAAGACTCAGAGGGACTTTTTCTTTCTTCACAGGTCGTGCTTCCTGCAGCGCTTCTGGGGACCCACATTACAACACTTTCGACCACAAGGTTCATAATTTCATGGGAAATTGCACTTACACCCTCTCCAAAGTGTGCACGGTCTCTGAGAGTCTTCCATACTTTGATGTGTCCACAACAAATGAGCACAGAGGAGCCAACACCAAAGTCTCCTACGTGAAGTCAGTGCACGTGGAAGTCTATGACAATCAGATTTCTCTGCTGAAAAACAAGAAAGTGAATGTAAGAAAATACCTGTTAAAAAGACATATAATTTTTAACTGACATGCAGACAATTATTATCTCTGTAGAGTTTATAACAAGACTTTATCTTTTTATTAATGATATCTATCTCTTTTAATGAAATCTCCAACAAACTTGCTCAGATGTTCTTTAATCAGTTCCAGTCGCCCTATGCACAAGATCCTATTTTTCAGCAATCTGTAATAGCTGCTGGTGGTTGTAGGAGTCCCAACAGCCATACACTTACTTTCACAACTTGCTGTACAGGTGAATGGTCGCAGAATGAACTTGCCTGTATTTATCAAAAAGAAGATCAGTATTCAAAGCAGTGGTGGATATGTTCTCTTGGAAACTGACTTTGGACTGTGGGTGAGATATGATGGAAATCATTATGCAGAAGTCTCTGTGCCCTCTAATTACAGTGGTCTGCTCTGTGGCCTATGTGGTAAGTGATTACTTAATTTTTTTTCCTTAGTATGTAGAAATTACAAGAGTAGTTTGTATTGTGAGTTTCTGATTTTTCTTTGGTTTAGATCATCCGGAGTTTTCTAGTTCAGTTATCTCTTCATGGGTTTTTCACACTTTCAGTGCAGGAAATCTACCTAAGAATATAATGGTGCAGATAGCACTGTTTAATTTTTAGTCCAACGGTCCATCCATGTAGGATGCAAGAAAATTAGTAGGGTTTCTTTAGGTAAGTTTTTTCTTGGATGCCATGTAATCTAGTTACATAGGAGCTTACAGACTTCCTCCTTCAAATGTCTAAGCAGCAGCTCTTGTCAGTAATAAAAACACAATTCTGCTCTTATTTTGCCCAGTACAGGTTGATGTTATATATATATTATCTCTACTTCATTTTAATTTATTTTACAGCCTGAAACCTAGGGTTTTTTTCTACAGGTTTGAACTTCATAACATTCATCATCCGATAAATCTCTTTTTACCCTCATAGGTAATTATAATGGTGATCCAAATGATGACAATATCAAGCCCAATGGTGACATTGCAAGCGGTTCCACTGATCTTGGAGAAAGCTGGCTGGTGCCTGAGAATAACACCATGTATGTAAAATCATTTCATCATATGGCATTTGCTGAGTAAACTCTTAAAATCAAATATCCATCTACTCGCTGGCTTTTTCATCCAGCACTTCTACAATTTCCAGCTGCCCATTAGAAGTAGAGAGCTGGACTTTCACATAAACCAGTGAATAAGAGGGCTGGTGTCCTTTAAGTCTCATTTTTCAAAGCAGGAACTGTCTGTTGAGTGTGAGGGGGATGGTACATCAGTCCAGTTCCCTTATTAGAAACCGTAACTGTTTGGACCCCATAGCTCTTCTTTTTTTTCAGCTAAGAATAAGCCTTTGAATCACCCAGAAGGGATCAAAAAAGGAGTCCATTCAGTGAGAGGGCTGACATCAGCTCTTCACAAAGAAGCTGGATAGTCTTGTGACAGAAATTAAATGCACTCTTTTGTGCAGAGTTGTCATGTATTCATTTTCCACTGAAAATCTGATAGTAAGAGATGTGAAACACGTGTTTGATTTGCTTGCTTTCCCCAGATGCTTCAGTGGTGGGACAGAAGAGCAATGTGATCCTGTGTTGGAGAGTGAAGCAAAGAAAAACACAGCATGTGGCATGATCACAGACCCAACAGGTAGTGTGTTGGTAGATGTCTGTGAACCACGTGATGGAGCATGGTCTAGCTTGTTTTGTCCCTTCTCTGTAGTCTCTTTTTCTGAGCTCATATTGGAAGTATATAAAGCCTCCAGTGTGAATATCATAGGTGCCTGGCCAGAATATGTCATCTGTTCAGACAATGCCAATGTATGCATTAATTTTGTCTGAGAACATGTGCAGTGAACCATAGCTGCTCTTTGTGTTAAAGTGACTTGTTCTCTGCTTGCTAAAAGAAGCAGTTCAGACAGACTGTGTGGGTATTACAGATACTTTGTCAGAAATTCTGTGCGTTTGCTGTAGTTGTCTAGAATTGGCCAGCAATGCTTAATTTATGTAAGTTATGTTGTATCAATCATGCAAAAAGAGGAAAACCTGATCCACAGAGACCATTCTCATATTGTGCATTATGTATCCATTTCAAGTACTGGATTAATTTACTTAACAAAGCCTGGAACACCCACAATGTGTTTGCTGTGACAGAAAATACAGGATGGTCAGTCTTAACATTCCAGTGTGTTTTTTCTATCCTTCTCTATATCTTCCTTGATTTACACAGGAATCTTCAAGGACTGTCACACAAAGGTGCCTCCACAGAATTTCTTTGAAAACTGTGTTTATGACATGTGTTTCACTGGGGGACAGGCAACATCCTTATGCTATGGACTCCAGGCCTACGCTGAGCTGTGTGTCAATGCTGGGATATGCATAGAATGGAGGAATGCTACTCTTTGCCGTGAGTGTTTTGATATAAATACCTATTCTGAATTTTATCTTCATTGTCCTCTACCTTTTCCATACATGTTATTTCATTTTATGTAATGTTCTGAGTATAGTCTGTCTTTTATAATGTCTTGAGCCTGCTTCAGATTCAGGACCATTCCAGGATTTGTATAAACCACTAGTTACAAAAACATGCAGATTAAATCCTTAAAGTTTTATAATATTTATAATTTGCTATTAGTTTCTTAGAAAAGTCTGATTATGTTCAACTGTGTCTTATGTGAGCTTCTGCATTGGAGAAATAAGTCCTTTTGCTTCAATGAAAATCTACTATCCTCAATGTAAGTGGAACTGGTAGTCCTCCATAAAACATGTTTATCCATGGCCTTTGGTTAATAAAATAAGGGACCTTGAAAAGCTGCTGTTTCTAGGAAGTGCTCTATTTCTCTCTAAAGCAAAGAAATTGAGTACTGTCATGTATATTTCAATTAATTCTCTTCAGAATGACCCTATGGCAAATCTAATATAATGAACTCATATTTATTAGAATAAAGCTTTCCAAAGGTTCCACTGGTGCTTATTTTTAGCAATACTGGACAGCTTTCTGCTTCTCAGACATACAATCATAGAATCATAGAATGGTTTGGGTTGGAAGGGACATTAAATATAATCTAGCTCCAACCCTCCTGCCATGGGCAGGGATGCTCTCCACTAAAACAGCTTTCTCAAAAGACCATCCAGCCTGGTCTTGAATAATTTCAGGAAGGAGGCATCCACAACTTCTCTGGGAAGCATTTTCTAAAGGACATTTAGGTCCACAAACTACACACCTGGAGAGAAAAAAAAGTCCTCCTAAGATCAACCATAAATAAAATTAAATAAACCATAATTGTATGGGCAGGTTCTAGGAACTGGTTGGAAAAAGAACTACTGTGATAAAGCACCCAGTAAGTCAGCCCTGAGAGAACAGAGCACAGAGAATTCTTATATAAAAAGAAGATAGAACAAGAAATGAGTGTCTAAGCCTCCAAATCAGATTAATGACATGGACATCCAGACTCCATAGTCTGAGGCTATAGGCCAGGACCTAAATACCTATGGCTTCATTATAGTAATAGAGAAAAGTTAGTAATATTAGAAAGATTGACTCTCAAGTGCTCTCTTCATCAGTGATTCAAATAAAAAACTCAAGTAAGGTCCTGACCAAGTGAAGGAAGTCTGGCTAGATACTGGAGATGTCAGATGTAGTTATCTGACAGGAGTAAGAGATCTTATTGTGGGGACAGAAATAAATGAGAATCATATGTAGTGCTTTATAACAAAATCCAGCCAAACACATGTTTTTCTGTGATTTTTTAGATGACAGAAATGGACAAATGCTTTGGGATTTCTGTAAAATGTAATGTTATCCCTGGAGACCATGTTTTGAGTCATAGAAGCCCAATTCTACCATCAGCAGGAGGGATGTGAAAGTATATTGTTCTCAAGGAGTCTCAGTGAAAGACAGACTGTGATTTTTAGTTCTATTTTGGAATATTTAACAGATGCTCAAGTAGGAACTACAGTAATGGGGATATACCAGCTGGTATAGCAAAAGATTCTTCCCATAACTAGGTCACTTTATGCCTTTAAATCAGAAGAAAAAGACTTGTACTCAGCACTCTGCTGTCAGACTTCCTAACAGCCATTTTGTATATTTTCAGGACCAAACAGGAAAAGCATCAGGAAAACCTTTATTATGATTTTGTCCTTTGGAGTAATCTTTTTTTTCAATTTATTTAGCAATGTCCTGTCCTGGAGGCAGCATCTACAAGAGCTGTGGTACTAGGTGTCCTTCTACCTGTTTGAACAACTCAGAAGTTGATTCCTGCAGTCCTTTGCCAGTGGAAGGTTGCTTCTGTAAGGAAGGCTATGTTTTGAGTGGAGACACATGTGTTCCAGAAAGCAACTGTGGTTGTGTTGATGGAAACAACCAGTACCACCAGGCAAGTAACATCAGACATTTAAAGGGAAAAAAAAAAAAAGAAAAAACCCAAAACAGGGAATCTCATTCTTTATCACTGTGAGGGAAAAAGAATGTTAATAACAGTACAAAATTCATATTTACACCATCAATAATTTCAAAATAGACTTGTTTTGCCAGCTTTCTTGGTCCATGAGTTGTGTGGCTAGAATTGCCCAAATGATTATACATCATACACATTCAAATACTAATAATTTTATTTTTCCCTTATGGTTTTACCTTCCTACTTATCTTATAATATATACTTCTACACTCTTTTTTTCCATGTAGCTGAATGAAAGCTGGTTCACTCATTACCCCTGCACTGAGCGTTGCACCTGCAAGGCAAATAACATCATTGAGTGCCAGGCTTGGGAGTGTGGAGTCCAAGAGGAGTGCAGTATTCAGGATGGTGTGCTGGGCTGTCATTCCAATGGTGAGTCCTGCCTGAAAATTATCCCAATGTCAATTCCATAATTAGATCCTCCTCTTCTTCTTCTACCTTTATTATAAATATCTTTTCATATGGGATAGCAAAGAAGTCCCAACTGCTGCCAGTGCTGAGATGAAAATGCAGGATGTCCTGTCTTGCAAGCACAGATGCCCTCCTGTTGTAGTGGATATCAGCAAAAACTGATGCTGCCTAAAATTTTGCAAGGTTGCTTGGATTCTGTTTGTCCTGATAATGAATATTCAAGACCCACATCACCAGTGCTGCAAGCTTTAAATTTGGCTGCATTTCTGTGAGAATTGTATTTCTGTGGGCCTGCGTAATGGCAAGTGCCTTATGTATTGGTGTCTATAGATGCAACTTTATTTACTTTTACATTTACATCTACATTTATTCAGGTAATTATGTATTTTGATATAGATCACTAGTAAAGCTTTGTATTACTCTCAGCTATACAATAAATCATAGCTACAACAGCATATAGAAATGTATACAAAAGTTTATTTTGTATATAATTTGCAAATTAAATTTAAGAGATGCTTTCTGGAAACTTATTTACAAATAAATGTCATTGGCATGAACCTGAATTGCCTCTCTGAAAGTTTGCCCACATAATAATGATCAGGATGTGGTTGCTACACTAATACAAACTGTTTTGGCCAGCTGAGTCCATGATGAAATCCAGTACAAAATTCTTAGATCATTTTTTTTTCGCCTTCAGGCCAAGCAACATGTCAAGTGGTAGGAGATCCCCATTATTTTACTTTTGATGGAATGAAGTACACTTTTGTGGGAACCTGCACCTACACCTTGGTTGAGGTTGTCAACACTGCCACCAATGTCATTCCTATAACCATACTTGGCAAGAATGAAGACAGAGGACTAAGAGGGGCCACATACCTGAAAGAAGTCTACATAGATGTGCATGGTGTACGAATCACCCTTCAGAAAAACCAAGGAATCCTGGTAGGTGGTGGTGCTCTTTTTTCTGGCAAGAAGTATCTTAAAATTAGCTCACTTAGAATAGCTAAGAGTAGCTGATTTCCTAAATAGGAAAAAGGATCTTTATATTTCCTAAGGAACATGTATGCATATGCTTAACACTTGTGGGCGCCGCCATTAAGTGGATGTCATAAGGAAATATAATTTGTCACTTGTTCTCAAGGCTTCTAGTTTGGGTTTCCTGTTTAATTGTCTGTATCTTAGAGATAAAACACAGGGTCTCCAGACTGGGGAATTGTTGCCTGAATTAAAATATGGGACTCCCCACTTCAACAGCTTTTATCTATGCAGTCACCTATAGCAAGCAAGGCATAATGTATCAGCCTAGAATAACATGGCAGTACTGGAGGCAGGGAATCTACCCCATGAGTGAGAAAGAGCTTGCTCACTACCAGAGATGAATCCTGCCCAACCCTCCTCCGCTAAGAGGCTGATTCCTGCAACTGATAGTTGGAATATGCAGTGGTGGAAGTGTAAAGAGCTAAAGTGGTCACAGAGAAATCTTCAGCACTACTAGGAATAGTGATTGTGAGCTTTCATGGAAGAATATACTTACTGACAAATGACATGTCTCTCCAGCTGAACAATGAGAGAGTCTACACTCCAGTACAGAAACAGCTGCAAGGCGTGTCTATTGGAAATGTTGGCAGATTTATAGTAGTGGAAACTGACTTTGGTGTGATAGTGAAATATGATGGCAATCACCATTTGGAGATCACCCTCCCACGCTCTTACTTCTCACAGGTAAGATTTAGCATACAAACATCTGGAGTTGTTTCAAAACTGCTGCCTTGTCCATTCTAGCTCTTTTTATTCCTGTGTTTTGCTGTTGCATCTTTCTTTGTAGCTGTATTGTAATACATGTAATTTTTTTCCTTTATATCTTTTTCTCTTCACAACAGTTTCTTTGTGTTCCAAGAGGGTAGTTAAAGAAAATTACTTGTCTAGGGAAATACTTCTTACTTAGAGAAATAAACAGCTTGAAGCCTTAGGGAATCACTGATTTACTGTAATTTCTGTTTTGTTTCTCCATGGGTGCAGCAAGAATGTCTGAAATGTCTGGTACAGGACTGGTTGGTGGTAGTGATTTGGTCACATTATTTCATAGGCAATGAATAAGAAGTTATTGGGGAAGTTGATGCAAAGAGGTCGTGCTTAGAATATGGTTCTTTTCCATCTGCAGGTGCATGGCATGTGTGGCAATTTCAATGGTAATCATGAAGATGATCTGTCCTTGACCAATGGTACAGTTGTCACTGCCCCACAGTTTGGAAATAGCTGGGAAGTGGAGACAGACAGTGATAAAGGGTAAATGTTAAATAATTTTCATACCTCCCATCTTACTTCAGGAACACAGTGAATTGTTTTCAATTGTTTTGACTGCTACTTTGTTACATATAAGTACTGTGTACCAGACTTAAATTTGTAGCTCAAAAAACAGCCATCCTCACAGGAAATCACTGCACAGGCCAGAGGAAAACCACAGCTGTTCTATCAATATGTGTACACACTCAGAGAATGAGTCTTTGGGGCCACAGTGTGGACTCTGTTTATTTGACACTGATAACATCCAGAGCAAGATAATGGTGCTGAGGAATGGTGAGGGCCAGCTGCTCCCTGGCAGACAGAAAGCCATATGTGACAACACAGCTGAAAAAACTGTGGCCTGACCAGCCAGGGTCCATCCCACTCTATCTGAGTGAGGCAAGAAGGGAAGCCCCACAGATGGGAGCCTAGGTTAGCCCGGCTCAGTTAAGGGCACTATACAGAAATTTGCAATGATGAGACAGATCCAAGGTCAAGCTGTGAAGTCAGAGTCAAGTTCAATGACAGTAACAGGTGTCAGACACAGCACGGTGGTTGTCAGGCAGGTCTGCTTCTGCTCAGTCTTTCATCCATTGACAAAAGGAAATCATAGCCTCCAGCCTTTTCTACTTTTCAGTGGAAATAAACTTTTCTGTTTCAGTCTGTCTTACAGCAGCTTGTGTCTGTGCTTTCCTGCAGTTGTTTGCCAGACTTGAGAGAAGAAGATGATCCTCCTTGCACTGCTGAGAATAAACAACTCATTGAAAGACAGTGCAATGTTCTAAAATCAGACAAATTCAAAGTATGCCATAGTCTAGTCAACCCTGATGACTTCATAGAGATCTGCATCTATGATATGTGCCAGTATGATGGTATGAAGTCTGCTCTCTGTGACATAGTTCAAGTCTATGTGGACACCTGCAAGAATCATGGAATCATCATTAAATGGAGGAACAGCACATTCTGTCGTAAGTAAACAAGCAAGTAAAAAAAATGAAACCTCAATGGCTGACAGCATGCAAAAATTAGCAGAGTTAGGTGAACAAGTTATGTAATAGAAAATGAAATCTAAGTTCTTACAAAATGCAATTCTACTATCATGATTCCATTGCTACACTGAACTGCATTTGCATTCAGAAAAACACAGAGATAACTCAGAACTAGACAAGTTATGGATATTATGTGGAATTAGAATGGCATTGGTAGCCAAATGAGATACTGCACTGAGCCTAAAATGTAGAAATTATATAACCAGAAGACTAAAAGAAAGAAAGATACTGTATTAGGGCACGTTATTATCAAATCATTCACTGTGATTTGAACAAAAACTGACAATTTGCCCAGTTGTTTATTATGGACCCTGTTCTCAGATTAATCTCCAGGGTATGTGCTTCACTCCATCCTTTCAACAAAGCTACAAATAAATTATGCAAAAATTACTAAAGATCATGTAGTGGGGTTTTATTTGTGTGGAGTTTTTTCCAATTTAGTATTATACTGTGGGATTGTCACATAATGTTGTAGAGGACAAAACAGTTAACCAGTTAAAAACCAGGTCAGATGAATATTTAATAGATCCATCAGAAATCTCTAGCTTCCTCCTTGCCATGAGTGGAGGAAAATACTGGACTAACAAAGCTTTTGTCATGTTACACTGTTTATTGGACCATCCTGTTAAGCATGTCTAGTCATTGGCATAAATAGGGTTTAGAGCTAGATGAACCTGCAGTCTGACAATGTGTATCTACTAATCTTGCATGTCTGTAGTTAAGCTTAATTTACAATTGGTTTGCATCAACGGAGGGTTGAATATTTTAAGGAATTTGCCTATGAGAGTCTCATTTCTAGCAGTGCCTTTGCAGCTGTCTGGATAATCTAGTGCCAGGTGGTTCATACCTGTAATAAAACTGAATAAGCAGTTCCAGAGAGCATTCTTCGTTTTGTTTCTCATTGGATTTTTTTAAAAATAAATTATAAAAATAGAAACCAGCTGATGATCAAAATCAGCTATTAAAAGGCCGTTCTGTATTACATTCCCTAGACCAAGGTGTAGCTTTCAGTGTTTGCAGTGCACTTTGTAAATGTATTTAATAATGCTGGCTCTGTTCTCCCACACAGCACTGCCCTGCCCATCCCGGAGCCACTACAAAGACTGTGTCTCTGCCTGCCCATCAACATGCAGTGACATTTTTGCCTCTTCCCTTTGTGAGAAGACAGAAGAGTGCACAGAGGGCTGTGAATGTGATGATAATTATGTGCTCAGCAATGGCAACTGTGTGCCCCTCAGCAGTTGTGGCTGCAGGGATGATGACAACAATTACTATGAAGTAAGTAGTTTGTGAAGCAAATCTCTGACTTCAAAACTTGTAGAAAATTGGTCTCCTGCCCAACTTAATGTGAAAGAGAGAGAGAGAGATCAAACACTTCAGGATCTACCTCTTAAATACCTTTGTAAAAGCTGCTGCCTTGGGTATTAGGAAATACAGAAGCTCACTTGGTACTTTGCACCTGAGGCCAAAACTGAGGCCTATTTTAAAACAGGCAATTGATCAGAATTATTCAGGCAGTCTGTCCTAGTCTGGTTTTGTGTTCAAATTCTCTTGTTGAAGACAGTAAGATAAATGGACAGAGATCCCCTCTCACAGGCTCTTGGTGAGACTACACTTAGTCAATCAGTTGTATAATTGCCAACTGGACAAGGCAGTACCTAGCTAGTGTCCACACCCATGACTATTGAACTTCCATTGCACTGCTAAGCTTAGACCCTTGATAACATATTATTAACACAACTTGTGTCCAGGCTGGGGAGACATGGATAACTCCACATTGCACCAGAAGATGCCAGTGCCAGAAGAACGGTGTCATCAGTTGCAAGAGCTATAGCTGTGATTCTAGAGAAACCTGTGTGATCAAAGATGGAAAACACAAGTGCAATCCAACAGGTATGTGCAAGAAATTCTTCACTTGGGGTTCACTTGAGGGCTGCAGAAGGGGGAAGGGTGTGAGAGTACATACTTTTCTTCATGGCAATTCCATTCTTTCACAGCAAAAGAAAGCAACTCTTACTGTTTTGTTGACAACATGTTATTGAATACAAAAAGGCCTCAGTTCTCATAACAGAAGATTCCTAATCCATGCAGAGAATTTGTAGAGGGAAATGGATACCTGGGTATAATTTACTTATATCTAGAAATTTGACAGCTCAATCTGACTAGTTTGAAGAAAATTTCTTTTACAAAATTCCCACTGCATCTACTGAACCAAAACTCAGTTTGTGAATCCTATCACAATGGCCCTGTTTTTTCCACTGCATGTTGATTTGAGAACAGAAAAAAAAATAAATAAATACCAAAACCAAAAACCAATAAGCAAAACCAGGACAGTGCAGATCTGGATAGATACATGATAGGCCAGTCAGAGGACTTTGGTGCTTTTCATTCAACATTTTTTGTAGGCAAAGTTAATCCCATATTCTCCGGTAGGTTGGGTGGATTAGGAGAGAGCATAGCATACCTACACTTCAATTTTGAAGAATAGCATGGCATCAGTCCTGTATTAGGGATCAATAGAAAAGCATAAGGCAAATCCATCCCTGCTACATTTTGGCAAAATATATGAGCAGAGGCACCTCAGCAGTTTTAAGGATAGCCTTCCTATGCCTTACTCCTGGCATAATGGTTTACTCTGTGCCCAGTGGTCAAGGAGAACCTTGATAGATGATAGTCACTTTATCTGATTGTTAGGTCTGGTAAACCAAATTATCAGTTTAGTAACCTCAGCAGAAATTAGTGACAGCATTGAGTCAGCCAAAATTAAACATTGCTTTTCAGTTTTGTAGCAACACATGGCAGAGGTTATGAAAGCAACATCTCTTAGAAGGCCACTTCAAGCCATGCTTGTGTCAGAGTCATTCCTGTGTAGAGGGCCACTGTGCACAACTTACTCTCAATAAATTCTATAAACTCTGATGTTCTGCTTCAGCTCAGTTGGCTCGCAGTGGTTCTCAGCAGAGGAATGAGTTTCTCTGTCTATCTCTCCCTTTGAGTGTCCATTCACTAGAGTGAAGCCTGAGCACCCATCTTTACTTCCAAACCTGCAGGCTACCAGCAATCATTTTTATCTAACAGTTTGGACCAATCCAGCCATGGCATCTGGCACATGCACATTTAGACTGGAGAGTAATGAAACTCTTCCCTTGCAGGTTTTGGGAGATGCCAGGTCATGGGTGACCCACACTACATCACCTTTGATGGGCTGGTGCACCACTTTCAAGGGAAATACACATATATTCTGGCTCAGACCATCCCTGACCTACCTGACACTCTGACACAGTTCAGCATTGAAGGCATGAACTATCCTTTGCGAGGAAGTCGACACATTACTTACCTGAAAGAGATGCTCATCAATGTTTACAACCACACAGTGCGATTCAGACAGAACAAGCAGGTTCTGGTAAGTCCCTCCCTGACTGCAGAGCACAGAGGAAGGCCCTCCCTTGGAGTAAAACACCTTTGAGTAATGCACCTATTTTTTTAAGAATTGAAGTATTAAAGTGAACTGTATTATTACAGCAGTGCTGTGAGGGAACCACAAATGAGATTTTCAGTTGCATGGAGTCTTTTTTCTCCATAGCTATGAAAGATATGATTCTACATCAAACAAACAAATTAATAAATATAGTTTTAGCAATGAAACCCCAAATATCCCAAGGCTTACAATAAAGCCACAACAATTTTTATCAGTGGTAAGGAAAGCTTTGTTTTATGCTAGGTTATTTTAATTTCCTTCCTCTTTATTGGTGTGTAAGAGCATACATAGCTGCTATATTACATTTTTAGCTCAATAATAGAAATTTCTTTGGATAATATGAAAGTACTGTATCCAAATCAGTTTCCTCAATACATTATTTTGTTAACTTAAAAAAATGAATGCTGTTAAATTATCTAATATATTTATCATAAAGCCAGAGAAGTATTGGATTGTAGCATTGACCTGTACTGTAAACAGATTTTAATTTGACCTATATATAATGAATTTTAATTTTTTCATTCCTTGTTAGTTGGATGGTGTGAGGGTGAGGCCCCCTGTTCGACCCCATGAAGGTATTCGTATATATCAGAGGGCAAGAAGAATTTACCTGGAGACAGATTTTGGCTTATACCTGAGCTTTGATGGCAATCAAAATGCAGGTAAGTGATACTAAAAAACTGTGCAGAAATATTTATGCACCACACTCAAAAATGTTCTCATTCTGGAGGAGGTCTAAACCCAAGGCAAAATTTGAAATCTTCACCCTTTGTGCTTATGGTCCTTTGTGATATAAAATACCAGAAAATAACCAGAAAATACTAGAAAGAAGTGTTTCCCAGGAACCAGAAAATAAATTCAGTGGGGTCCACTTTTCTCTGTGTGGACCCCACTGAATTTAGGAGAAATGAGATACAGAGATACAGAGTCAGACTGTTGTGCATTTTTTTCATGTTAAGTAATGTCTGAATTATGAAAACAAAAGCAAATCACTTGAAATTGTTAATTGGGATGATGGGACAAAATCTGGATCTGCCCCTTTGCCAGCTGAATCCAGTCACAGGAATCACAGGACTGAGATCCTCAAGCACTCTCTGGGTGTATCATTTTGCATGCTTTTTCTCAAGCCTACTCCAGATAATCCCATTCTTTAGTGTTTGTCAGGACTTTCACATGGCATACACAGAAACCACTCATGTAGGATCGACACATAATACCTCCTCTGTTCAAATTAGCTCAGAATTACTCCTGATTTATATCAGCATAAATCTATGCTATTTCTGAGTGCATGGTGAAAGTGCCAGGCTATTTATTTACATGGCCATCATTCCAAACCCTGAAATTCCAACTGCAGAAAGCAAATGTCTGTCTACAGAAATCCCGCTTCTCAGTGATCAAGTGCATTGTAAGGGAAGGGCAAAAAACGGGTGATGCATTCCATTTGTTGCAAAGCAGTAAGCAGCATGCACTAAGAGCACCCAGGCAGTGATATCATGTTATATAAAAACTTGTGACAAATTACTTTTTTCATGATCCACATTGCAGAGCACAGAAAGTGTGAATACATGTATGAATAGGTATCTTCAGGGCTGTGCTCTTATGCTATGTATTAAGCCCGTGTCACATTACCACCTGCAATCTGAATCATGGCATGTGCCACTTGGCATTGATTTCCACCTCTTCCATACACTCAGTGGCAACAATTTCTGTGTAATAGCTCTTTTTCCTTCTGACTTTGTCTAGACATAAAGCTGGCTACCTCCTACAAAAACAGAGTGGAAGGCTTGTGTGGTGACTTTGATGGGAGACACAGAAATGATTTCACAAATCCAGATGGTGTTTGGGTGAGGAACGTGAATGTATTTGGTGAAAGCTGGAAAGTTCCTCTGAAAAGAAGCTCTCGTCTCAGGTACTTGATTTTCTCTTTAATATCCACAGCAAGCACTGCCACTAGAAGTGAGTGAATTAAGTCATAGTTAACTTCTAGGAATAACTACACTGTCTCATTTCTGTCTTGCCTTTCTTCTTCTCATGTACAGACGAGATGTCATCTCAGAAAATGAGTCTGAGGAGGAACCAGATCCAGGGCTTTTCCAAGGCTGCAACGAAAATCAGCTGGAGCAGCAAAACACAACTACAATGTGTCAAATCCTGACTGAGTTGAATGGTCCTTTTGCCAAGTGTCATTCCACAGTCCAACCAGATTTCTATTTCACGTAAGTGTCTACCGCAGACAGTTGCTCTCCCAGTTGGCAAAATCATTTTGCCAATAGTTTCTGACAAGATCTTCAGTCATCTGGAGTCTCCAAGGTATTAATAGGAGCTGAAGATAGTGTCATTTATTTTTAAACAGTTGTGATTATCTTTCTTTCATCTATTCAGCATTTCACTTCTCTGCTAGCTCTACAAAACAGCTTTCCTCTTTCCCCACATAAATAAAGCAGCAGTGTTAAGTATTATCCCTGTAGTCTGGAATTTCCAATGTGCTTACAGTTCTCATCCACATTCAGTGAGAATGTAGCACCTGGGTCTGCTGGATAGCAGTTCTAGCTTCATAAAATATTTATCATGCCATAGCCAAAGGCTGAAGCTAAAGTGAAACTTTCTGAAATTTTTATGGAGAAGTACAATAACCAGATTAGTGAAGAGTAACTCACCTGGTATCTTCAAGAAAGTTCCCTCTGCTGTGTTTCAAGGTTGCTCTGCCTCCTACATGTACAATTCTAATAACAAATTCCAAGCTGTATTCATCCCCACATTCATCTTTCATCCTTCATCCACCATCAGTCACAGATTTGGCAAGTAGCTGCCAGTTTTCTTTAGTTATATAGTTATGCCTAATGTTTAAAGACAGATAATGCCCACCCCAAAGTCCCTCTTATCAGTGAGAAGAATTTTAGCAGTATCTTAAGCCAAATAAAGTGGACCACTGACTTCAGTGTGTATACATATATCTATATCTACAGATTATATATAGAGTGTATAGATATATAAGAGATGATTAGATATAGATATAAATAGATATGGATAAATCTCCTGATTCTTAACATCAGCCTACTTTTCTCCTCATTCTAGAATTTGGTTGCGCAGCCTGTTCTACCTGCTCAGTGGTTGTCCTTATTTTTCTGAGGTGCTGCATATTTGCAGATTCCATTCATCTTGGATCTCAATGCCTCTGAAAGTCAGGCCATGAATACTCAAATGATAAGCAAAACTGAGAAGGTAGCACTGGCAAGCAAACACTGGATAAAACAGAATTCTATGTCAACATTCAAGGCACAGGGACATGAGGAGTGTACCCATGTATTGAAAGTAGTGAATAGTTCAGCTGTAGCACTTAGCAGCATGAAAAAGTGTTCTATAAGCAAGATTTATCCTGAAACAGAAGCAGAGAGCAAAGAAGAACTTACTGTGTTAAGGTAACACTTTTTTGCTTAGTCCAAGGGAGGCTTAGATTGCTTAGGAGGAAAATTTTATGTATAGGGCCATAGTTTATTGGTGGACCTGGCAGAGTTAGGTTAAAGGCTGGGCTCAATGATCTTAGAGGCCTTTTCCAGCTTTAATGATGCTATGATCCTATGTGGACACCTCATAGAGCAACAGCAGCTGCACAACAAATGACATGATCTTCCCAACCATGTGCTTGGAGTGTCTTTTATTCCTCTGTTTCTTGTCAGCCAGATCCTGGAAAACAAAACTAGGAGTCAGGCAGAAAAGCAGATGAAAACAACCAATAGCATATGTACTGGGAATTAATGTTTTCTCATGTTGCACATAGGAGCTGCCTGTTTGATATGTGTGTGGAAGAAGATGAAGTTGCTACCTTGTGTCGCAGTCTGGAGGAATATGTGCTGGCTTGTCAGCAGCAAGGAGTCAGCATGGATGGCTGGAGGCAACAGACAGGCTGTGGTAAGCACAGGAAGAAACACGAAGCAGGAATTCTACCTACAGGACTCTTAAAATCTGAAATTTGAGCCTTTTCCTATATCAAATCTTCCCAGAGAGTAAAAACATGTTGATTTACACTTCACTCACTCTTCACAGTTCAGCACACTTGTTTTTCTGGCTTCTCTTCCGTGTCCTATGCTGACTTTTGCATTTAAACCCCAGCTTCGAGAGATACTTAGGAAATCAGAGCTGTCAGCTCCTTGTCATTAGAAGTTTTGTGAGTGAAAAGGTGTACCCATTCCCAATGGGACAAAAAGTTTAAATTTTTGAGACCATCACAAGCTACAAATCTGAAGGCAAAGCATTTAATTTCAAACTCTCTTTAAATCTACAAACTATACTAATTATCTCTTTTGCCTGTGAAATTTCAAGATTAAAAAATAGATTCAACTGAACACTCAAAACTTTTCAGACTAAAAAAATGCTGAAATAAGACTTACAATCATCTCAAACATATTTTTCATCTTTTTAAGTTTGGAGTTCATCAAACTATATCTTCTCTGTGTCTGCCATGGTTAGATGAGTTCGTATTTCTGGCAAAATAGTTCCCAAAGCTGTGGAACAGCTCTGGCACTTGCAGGGCTGGCAACCCTGAACATGTATAAACCTGAACCCTTTATATGAACCAGTGTATACCAGGAATGAGAGAACAGTATACAAATAGCTTTGATGATGCATTTCCTGACTTTGGAGTGCTTTACTTACAACTTCAATACTATAATATATGTATGCATATCTCTGTGTGTGTGTATTTATCATATTGCCGCCTAGAAAATGGATCAGAAAGGGAATTCTGTAAGTAAGTAACACACAGCAGCCTGGTATAACTGGATTACTTATTTTTACAGGCATATCATGTCCTGCCAACAGCAAGTACAGCTCATGCATGTCTGCATGCCCAGCATCCTGCAACGACCTGACCAGCCCCTCTCGGTGTGAATCACCCTGTGTTGAAGGCTGTGAATGTCTCCCTGGTTATGTTCTTAGTGGCTTTGACTGTGTGCCTTACAAACAGTGTGGCTGCACATACCTTAACAAATACTATGAGGTACAGTCTCCCTGTGGGTCAGAAAGCTCCCACAGCATTAAACAGTATTTTCTCTTGTTAGTTATTTTGACCATCTCCTCATAATCCTCAGCATGTTATTTTGCAGTAGAAACATTAGAAACAAAGAGCAATTGTTTAATAAAATTCTGGTTTCTGGAGAAAGGGAAGAGAGGTCAAGATCTCTTGGTCTCCCTCTGCCTGCCAGTCCAAGGCAGACACTTGGAGAAATTATGTGATTAAATTCATGCTAATTCTTGACCTTTATTACACTCATAGACTCTAAACTTTACAACATACCAGTTGCAGAAAAATTGGCTTTGCTCCTCCCAATGAAGAGAGGTTTAGGCAGGGTTGAGAGTCTGTAGAGATGGGTAGGACATGAAGAGAGCCCTGAGCAAAGCTGGATTCTGATGAGAATCCTCCATTGTCACTGCAGGATAGAACAGCTCCATTATCTCACAGAATTCTAGTTAACCACTAGAGATTTGGTAAAAAAAAGGCCTAAACCAGTAAAGATTTACTATTAACAGGTGGCACTTTTAAGGAAAATGGCAGATAGCATTTCCACATTGCCTTGGAGGTAGGATGTGATTCATCTGCCACTCATCTCCAGCAACAGTTTCCCATTTTGGATTGCACATGTTCCCTGCCTGGGGCTAGGATCTCATGCCCCTAACTCTTCTTTTGCTTTCTTTCTTTGGCCATCCTCTAGTTTCAAAGAGCTGCATTAGTAAGCTGTTTGCTTTTTTTTTGTTTTACAAACTAGTTTAAAAACCCCAATCTTCTCTATTGCCATTCATCAGAAAAGCATTGGAGAGAGTATAATGAGGGTTCCAGTGCTACATTAATGTTTTTTCTGTCTGATTCTTTATTTGATAATTTTTAACATCTATCTCCTGTTCTTCCAGGTTGGAGAAATATTCACCACTGATGACTGCTCTCAGAGATGCCAGTGCACAGAAAGTTCCACTGTTTTCTGCTCTGAGATAGTGTGTGGGTTTGGTGAAATCTGTGGCATTTCAAACTACAGTCGTGGCTGCTACAGGAGTGAGTCAACCACTATCATATTGTCTTTGATGCTATGAAGTCTTGACTAACTTTAAAAGACATTACTGGGTTAGGGATAGTTGCAGGAGAGAGTGTACAGAAGAAAACTGTGGAGACAGGTAAACCTGCCAAGGCTTTCCCTTGGAGGAATGTGCACTGAAGGAGCTGTGATAAGCTTATCTCAACCCTTCAGGGCACATTCCTCCAAAGGAAAGCCTTGGCAGGCTCACCTGCCTTCACAGGAAACCATGCAAGGGATCTTACTCTGATGTTTCACTGGAGAAACAGTATTTATTTCCCTTATTCCTGTTGTCAGATACAAGAAACATGCTAAAATACAAAGGACAGGCAGCATTAGAAGTCAGCATAATCTAAGCAAGAACAATTCTCTTCCATCCTTCCAGGGTTGGATTATCTGAGAGTCAAGTGTTTCTCCTTTTTTTCCCAGGTGGCCCATGTATGCCAAATCCTTGTAAGAATGATGGCATTTGCTCTGAAGCTTCCAACAGCACCTCCCTCCACTTGTGTGAATGTTCAGAACTCTACACAGGACCAAACTGTGAGGCTGAAAAAATAGGTAATAAAACTATTCTGGATTTCCCTGTCTGCGTTAAACGCGATGTTTTTAAAAATGTATGTTGTTATTGAGAAGACTGGGCTTGCTTTTCATTTTCATGATGTAAGTTAGTAACCCAGTGGGTGAGAGCCTGTGTTCATCCAAGCAGTGAGAAGGGTCAGAATTCCAGTGGAGAGGTACCAGAAAGCAGGACAGCAGGGCTTGGTACAGCACACAGGACCTGGGTTTGACACCACTCCAGAAAGCCACAGAGAACACAGTAAAACCAAAAAGACATGCAAGGGTGGAGAAAAAACATTTCTATTCACAGCACAGTTAACTTCCAGTGACAGGGCTCTTGTTTGTTCTTCAGCTGAAGATCCTGACACAGAGGATTCGGGTCACACAATTGCCATCGTCGTTGCAGTTGTGGCAGGTGTAGCTGTTATTGTCATTCTCATCTCTTCTACAGTGTACCTGTTCAGGTAAGGCTTTTCCCAGCTTTACTACACTCAGCAAATTAAAGACAACCTCTTTTAGCACCTGTAAACCTCAAAATTCCCATCAGTCACATACCTGCAAGACCAGAAAGAAGCCACAGCATTGGGGATCTCTCCTGAAGAATGTGAGGGAAAACTTACCTTTTTTTTGTTAATTAAGAACGAACACATGCCATTTCTTTTACACAAGACATATGCGTTACTTATCATAAAACTCCAGCTTCTCCAAAATCCAGTTCCATTCATGCTCACAGCACTGTTTGATCTCTCACTATAAATAAGAATAGAAATTTTTTTTTTTTTTTTCCCCTTCATTGTACAGAAGGAAGAGAAAGGTGGACACAGTTACAATAACAAGGGATTCCTCTTTGAAATGGCCCAGGGATGAATCGGATGCCAGAGTACGTGAGCAAGATTATGGCTGCATCGTGAACAGTGCATTTGATCAAAATGAATCCCCAAATACACACCTATAGTTAACAATATTATTATTTGTCATACTTTTTACTCTTGTATTTTAATTGTATTTCTAATACTTTGAGAAGAAATAATAATAAATTTATCATTGCATTTATTGAAAACCTTTGAAATTGTTCATTTAAAATATCTCTCAGGTCTCATGTTGTAGACCCAAACTGAAATGTGTTCTAACTGACAGAAGAGACTCTGTTGTCTTCAAAGGATGTTTGAAAAACACAAATTCCAGACAGACCTTGATGGCACAAGTGGGCTGCACAACATCACATACACACCTCTGAGAGATGCACAAACTGTAGACTGATGTGAATTCTGTGATGGTCAGAATTCAAACTAAAAGATAGTAAGTTAAGGTTACAAGTCAGAAAGTAGGTTTAGGCTAGGTTTTAGAAAGAAATGCCTTACTATGAGGGTAGTGAGTCACTGGAATGGGTTATCCAGAGAAGTTGTGGATGCCCTGTCCTTGGAAGTGTTCAGGGCCAGGTTGGATGGAGCTTTGAGCAACCTGGTTTAATGAAAGGTGTCCCTGCCTATGGCAGGAGATTAGAACTGGATGATCTTAAGGTTCCTTCCAACCCAAACCATTCTATGATTCTACAAACTAGTAATAGCATCCCAGGTAGGTCTTCATGAAGTCTTACCCAAATCTTTCCATGGGGAGGGGATTAGTTGACTGACATAGACACAGTTCTTTACCCATCTTCTGGCAAGACATGTACAACTGGGGAGAGAAAGAAACAAGACACTGAGGTCACCTGAGGACAGATGTAATAAAAAAAGGATGACCCCCATTATTCCCTTAGAGTGGGGCTGAGGACCTCAGACTGTGAGGCCACAAAATCCAAAGGGTTTCTTTTGTTTGGGGTTCCTCCTCAGAGGCATCCAGCTCAAGCTGTTGCTCTGTTGTTGCACCATGATTAATTTATTTTAAGGATCCAGTTGTTTGAGACTCTGCTATGGGAAACCTGGGGCCGAGCAGGTAAGAAGACTTTGAATGTGTGAGTGTGAGGTGTACAGGGTAGTCAAGGGGGGCACCTCAAAGAGGCTCTGATGGGGCCTCCCATCCCAGCTCAAGTGCAGCAAGTGTGATGCTAGAGTGGGTCCTGGTTGGTCAGAGAGCAGGGTTTCCTTAACAGGGTTTGCTGTTGTTCCTGCTGTAATGTTGGTTATTATTTACTTACCCTTTCTCCTTTCCCTTGTATTCATAAAGACGTGTGTACTGCTGGCCAGAGAAGTATTTGCAGTCCATGGTCAGTTAGGTTATTCTGGTCCATTCAGGAACACCAGCTGTCAATACACACAGGCCATATCGCTTTTGGAAAGAGTATGAATAGAAAGGGCCTTTCAACCTCATTACACAATGAAAATGAATCAGTGAGAGAGACCTACTCGTGCACAAATGAGCTGTCAACTTTATGCCAGAATTTCACTGTGTTTATAATGCCACCTCTGCCTCCTGTTCAGTGTCAGTTGCTCTTGCACTCTCGCGCCTGCTACAGCGTGATTCAGTGACTGTCGAGCGGTGCTGACCACGCTCACCTCCCTTTGCACTGGGTGGGAGCACAGGCCAGCCCCTGCCTCGCAGGATCCCAGCTCAGGCTCCTCCAAGCAACAGGACCCTGCTGTGCCCAGGTAAAGCAGACATCTGGATTTCCATGTATATGTTTTTTGGTGTTTTTTTTTCCCATACCACAAGATACCGTTTACATTACCATTTACATACCACCAAGATTTCTATACTTTGGTGATTCAATTTCCACTGCAAAGCTTTGCAAATACTTCAGACTTAAAGAAAGGAATGATACAGAAAGTGGAGCTGCTGCTCAATGCTCCTCTGAATTAACAATTTCATGTCACTGGAAGACAGAAAGATGACAAATCTTCCACTGCTCTCATCTCTTAAACAGCTTGCTCACCTGACTTTTGAAATGCAAGGCTTTAAATACACTGCTTAGTTCAGCTTACCCAGAGGAAAGTTTTCTTGTTTGTTTTAGCACACGGTGCCAGCACCTCTAAAGGAGATGGCTGTAGGGGCTCAGCTGTGCTTATCTTTTGGATCAGGACCTTTGCTGGGCACAATCATGAGATTCCACTGATGTCCCAAAGGAAATGCCCAGGCCACGTCATAAAAACACATCCTAAAAATCCCTTTGCCCTAAAATTATTTTACTCAGAGCTCCACCTCCTTTCTTTCTCATCACTGTGAAGAAACAGAACGGCAGCACCCCGTTCTTCTCTGGAAAGGTTTCCTGGTAAGGGACGCTCACTCTCCGCTTGTTCGAGTGGGGTGCGAATCCGTCCGCGACTGGCGGGGCTCGAGGGGCAGTGGCAGTCTCCGGGAAAGTGGCAGTGGCACATCCTCCTCGGGGACAGGATCGGATTTTCCACTAAACGATTGGTTTTGGCAACAATCTCCGGAGTGGAGCGTCCGCAAGGGAGGGGGGGTTGGAGGGACAAAGCGGGGGCGGTGGGACAGGCCCGGACGGAAGAGAACGGCAGAGTCTGGACAGCTCTCGGTCAGCGTCGCCAGTGAGCACGGCGGGATCGGCTCAAGCGCCATCTTCCTGCTATTTATAACGGGACCAGCGGGCCGGGAGCCCGGGCTCGGCAGGTGCTGGGTGAGCGGAGCTCGGGGGATGCGAGCGGTCATTCCCAGCAGGATGCGGCCCCTCCAGGCTGCGGGCGCGGCTCTGCCGGGCGGCCGGAGGT